GGGGGGGGGTGTATCAACCAAATTTGGTTTCAGTTTAGGAAGCATAATCATTTTGTAGTGATAGCCATTTTCAATTGAATAAACTTGCACTGCGAAACCAACTAAAGAAGAAAAAGGTAAAATCTTGTCGATATTTTCTTCTTTTGGTCATATGCCCACAATCTAAAGTTGCAGAATAAAATTTACAGAATTCTGGAACTGGCAACTCTGGAGCATGAGTTTCTTCAGACAAATCTATCAGCCAACAAATACGATGCATCATGCCCCTCATTGGAGCAAAGGTGAAAGATCAAAGAGATGGAGTAAAACCTTTATAGAAGTGGAATAAAAATCTTCCAAACCTTGGTTTCACCATCTAAACTAGCAGTATATAGGACATAAGAAGAGGTGGTATCAGATGGAATTTGTTGATCACTTGTCACAGTCAGGCACTTCACTGGTCCATTGTGTCCTTGAATAACAGTAAGACAAGAGTAGCATCTCTCAACCCCTCTCCACACTCTCACTGTTTTATCAGCTGAACCACTGCACACCAAATCTGCCACTACAGCCAGACACAATATGGGCTTTTTATGACCCCTGAGTGCACCCACTAACACCATATCACCACCTTCATTCTTCTCCCATACTAATATTGACCTATCACAAGCACCCGAATATAAAACAGAATGAGTGCTTTCCCCAACTGCTAGTGCATTTACACCAGATTTATGTTTTTCTAGTGTACCAACCAGTGAATGCTTTTTCTCTTCAAATCCCCTTCTCCAAATCTTGATTTTATTGTCAGCTGATCCTGTAAAAACATCCCCCTCTTGTGATATTGCTAGAGCGTTGATCGCGTCATCATGTGCATTTGCTATAGATTCCAAGCATTTAAAATCAGTGGTTCGCCAAATTTTAAGTGTTCGATCCCATGAAACAGAGTAGAGGAACAACTCATCGTTCGAAAGGGCTAGTGCTGAGACTGTGTCAACATGATGCACCCATGTAGATTTCTTGTGGCGCCTGATTTTAACATGGTTTTTTGGTATCATAAATTTCAGGGCTCTGTCACTAAGTAAAGGGAGAGTGGATAGATGAACAATATTAGGGGCATCTGAATTATGGTTTTCGATTTTCCAGGCTCGGATTTTGTGATCTTGATGAGCACTAAAGACCTTATCAGCCAATATTACTAGTGACTTAACTGCACCTTTGCCTGCTATAACTGTGTCAACTATACCATCTATTGTGGAAGTTAGAGCTTTTTGCTTCCACATACAAATTTCTTTATCAGAAGAGCCAGTAAAAAGGAATTTACCAGCAAGTACAAGGGAAGATGTATAGGTATTCTGTCCCTTTAGAGTAGCTATGCATTGATGTTGAGTGCCAAGATTAAGAGATAAACTCTGATCATGAGATAGTGATATGGCTGAAGGAACTGAATGAAAACTTGGCTGTGTATCTAAAGAAGTAGGATTTTCTTGTTCTGTTATTGAGTCATTGCTTGAACATGAAGTTTGGTAGTAAGGATTCATCCTTCATTCCACTATACTGAACAAGAACTCTAGCATATGACTTTGATTTTATCTAGGGAAGAATATGAGGTGGGCAGCCTAGAAAATACAAGTGGGGAGGATCTTGTGATATGTTTGGTTGATCATAGGATATACATTTTGGTGTATATATATGTCTATGAGGAGTAGAGAAATTAAAACAGGCTTCCTTAATAGAAAATGGGAGCTATGTTGTGTCATTATTTATTCTTGAAAAAGTTTTATAGTGTACGGTCGTTTGTTGATTGGAAAGTTCTGTCCACATCAAATGCCATTCAAGAATTGGTCCACCAGAAATTAAACTAGACAAAAGTTGCTTCATTGTCTCACAAAGGTTTCAACTTGCATGAAGCGAGGTTTCTTGCTACAACAGTGTACTCTTATTATAGAAATATAGTATAGTAATGAATTAGGTAATATTGAATGGCTGACTGCTTTATGTTTCCATTTCATGACTCGCTAATTGAAAAGTTAAACCATTTAGAGCCCGTTTGGCTTAGTTGATTTAAAGTGACTAATAAGCATCAAGTATTGAAAAACTAGTGTATTTGTCCGCGTTTCACGCGGTCATTATAAAAAATCAGAATATTAAATAATTATATATATATTAAGCATTTTTAATGACATTATGGTTGCAATTCATTTACCTTCAACACTATACATGTTACAAGTTTATCATGAAAGGATACAATTGTCCCCATATCTATAAGGGAATTAATCTATATATGTAAAATTGATATGTATTTCTTAATCAGTTAATCTTTTAAGAATGAGATTTGTAAACTCAGTTCTTGTCCGTTATAGTCACTTGAAGATGGTTTTGCTTAATATTTTAAAAAAAGAAAATAGAAAAACAAAAGATTCGATCTTACGTATTACCTTGAATTCTTGCATAACTCCTTTTTGACGGTTCTTGCTTTTATCACTTCCTTTAGTGAATCAACTACCAAATTATTTTTAGCAATGTTATTTGTTGAGTGTTCCAAGTTGTTATTCCTTAATATTCTTCTTGAACTATTGGACGATATACATATGTATTTATATGTGTTTTGACCTTTAGTATATATCTAAAATACATCAATATCAGAAAGAACATGCTAGTTATTCATAAAAATTACACCGATCTTAAAGCAAATTACATAAGTATACCATTTCTCAAAGTCATAGAGAAAGTACAAGAAAAGAAATACAACGCACATTCTATTTGGAATCTTAATCATAAGAAAATAAAAGAAAAGAGAAATATAAAATCAATGTATAGTTTCCCGAGCTGTTGTTGATACTCTCTCTCGCAAATCTATCATCATTCAAGAGCCTTCTTCCTCGAGCGAAACTAAAACATGAATCTAATACTGCGGTATATAAGACACCATTACAATTTCAAATACGACATGAAAAGGGTAACCTTGGGTAGGGGTCTCATGAAACAAAAGTTATGAATTTATATAGGGAAAAATAAAGGAATACCATAAAGTATCTTAAATTGTTTAATTAAATATTTGGAGGTTATGAAAAGCATAGGAATTATGGATACTATTAAGAGTAGAAGTTAAAGAGGTGTGAGTTATGAAAATAAAATTTTAAAACAAATAAAGAATAAAAGATAAATGCAAAAGATATTTAAGTGCAATGTGGCTCTGTTTTAGAAAACTACTAATTTTACTGGTCATTCGGGCTTTATTACGCAGATGCATTAGGCTTTTATTTTCTTTTTTATTCCATTATGCTAAATAGATTGATTAAATAAGATAGTTGAAGGAAAAATGTAAAATAATGAGATAAATTGTCATAAATTTACATATTAAATATTTGGGAGTTATGAATATGAAAAGCAAAAGAGTTATTGAGATTATTAAAAATATTGGTTAGGAAGATAATGAGGTGAGAGTTATGAAGATAGAATAATGATAAAAATTAAAAAAAAAAGGAGAAAAAAGATAAATTTGTTTCTTGGCTTGAGAGAGGTGCCACATCACTTTTCTATTTCCCACTTTTATATAGATATATAGATACTTTTAAGTGCTGAAACTAATTTAATAAATAAGTAGTTATGTGTTTGGATTTATATGCTAAAACTGATAATAAGCAATTAAAATATTTGGTAAATAGGTGTTGATAAGCATTTTCTTGTGATGTAATGACTTCAATGCCCCTTAAATTGTTCACACTAATAAATATATACTCATACAAGATTTCAAATTCTAAATTGATTAAAGTATAAATTAACTTATGGATTTACATTTAGTTCCAAATTGATTAGATTAAATTGAAATTTAGTAAGTAAATATTATTTTAGCAACAATGAGCTAAAGACTAAAGTACAATAAGAAGATCATTATTACATCGTCATTTTTCATTACCAACACAATGCAATTAAATTTAGATAATTTAGTTCATATTTCATAATAGAATTTTGAATGATACAAAACAACCACATTTTCAAAGAGATGAAGAAGGCCGACTTACAGAAGATAGATTTCTTTTTATAACTGTGGTGTCCGTGCCAGCTTGCGCGTACCTCGATTAATTCTACGGGATATTTGCTACCTTCCACCAGCAACAAGTACCAAGTAACTCTATCCACCAAGGCTTGGATAGATAAGAAGAAATTACCTAGTGTTTTTTGCCTCTGCCGGGATTTAAATTGAGACCTCATGGTTCTCACCCACTTCGTTGACCACAAGACCACACCCTTAAATGCCAAGATAGAATTTTTCTAACTTAAATTAATTTGATTGATTTATGTTGACGCTAAATAGCTTTTTGTTGTTCATGATGGTGAACAATATTTCTAGGAAATAAGCTCGTGAAAAGATGACGGGTGAAAGTGAAGAATAGAGTTAAGAGTTTTATTAAGATAAATGTACTTCAGAATTATATAATAATAATATATGGACAAAATAGTAAAAGTTTTGGTCAAACTAAAAGTGCTTATAATTGAAAGTCATAAGTTAGTAATGGTCAACTCATGACTTATTTTCACTTGACTTATAAACACTTTTGATGTCTTTCAAACGTAGATAAGCCGAAAAGTGTTTATAAACTAGTATGACCAGCTTATAAGTTTAGCCAAACACACTCTTAGTAGTTGTTTCATTATTGTCCGGTAATTGGATGGTAATTATTGTCTTTTGTCCTTAAAAATGTTGGTCTGCCTAAACAAGGTCAAAATGTGTGTATTTTCAATGACAGAGACTGAGTTACAACAATAACAACAACAACAACACTAACAAAAAACCCAGTTTAATATCGTATTTGGGATTTGGAAGAATAGTATGTACGCAGACCTTACCTCTATCCTATAAAAATAGAGAGTTCATTTCCAATATACCCTCGGCTCAAGGAACAGTAGAATAAAGCAACAAGCAATAGCAGCAGCAATGCAAAAGAGACCGAGTTACCTTTTATAGTAATAAAAATTAGTAACTGGAATTTTAGATAAGCAGAGAAATTAGGCACTCCCATTAACCCCACCAATCTTGAATCTTTCTGTTCTATTTTTAAAAAAAATAAAAAATTAAAACAAAAAAAGGTGGAAACATTTTGGACTTAGTTTTCATGACAAATACTGTAAAAGGTTTTCCATAAGAGTGTTTCTGCTGAGCATCTGATTCCATTAATGGAGTACAGTTCTGCTTCTCTAGATGTGCCTTGCACTAAAATTTGCCGCTCACTTTGCCAGCTTCTCAAGTGGGTACTAATCAGCCTGGGACATAAACCCACTACATTATCTTATTTTTAATTTTACCTATTTATATTAATTTATTCTGTTCCAAGCATATCACATGATTTACTCAATCCTATGTCCCAAAGATCATTTAAAAAGAAAAAAGGACTTGATTCTAAACCTAAAAGTTAGACATTGATAATTCTCCTTTATTTTTCAACACTAGCTATATGTGTAAGGTTTAAATCTCACTAAGAGGAGTTGATACTCAAGGAAGTGACATAGTAATAGATGAAGTGAGTGAAAAATACGGAAAACTAAGATCCAAATTGTCGCATGGATATAAAATACGAGGTGATTATTTCTTACTATATGCTTAAGCATTGGTGGATAAAATTAATTAAACTTTGAGGTGTACACCAAATTAATTGGCAGAAGAAAGAAGTCAACGAATAGCTAACTGCAATAATCATCATTGAAGGCATGGAATTTAATGTGATACAAACGACAGGACAATGAAGGAAACCTAACTGCCAAATAAGGTTTTGCTTAGAAAATGCAAGACACTATAGGACTAGGATCTCTCCCTAAAGGACCTCTAAAGGGAAAGTACTACTATATGGTAACATCATAGGGATGATTTTTGCGCAGTAGTTAACTAAGGTTATCGTTGTAATTACAAAGGGATTACCTTTTTCCCGAGGATGGATATGAAATATTTTGTGTATCGGATTATCCTTATTGACCCGTAGCTATCTATCAAGTGTGTACCGTTTCTTGATTAGATATTTATAGAACACTTTGAAAACTCTCATAAAATATTGGATGTGGAGGTTGTTCACTTGTTTAATCTTTGTTTACAGGAATATAGGCAATTTATTGTTTGAATAAGTAACATAAAAAATCACGAATGAGTTAAGTCTTTCGAATATTTACGACATTTATTAAGTCTTTCGATTTCCACTTGTTTTGTCTTTCAATCAACGGGAAACTGGGTTTGGAAATTAAAAATATACATTTATATATGAAATGGAATATTCATCAATCCCTCTCCTTATTCTTCTCTTCACAGCCAAATTAAAATAAGGTCCTGACCTACCTCCACAAACCCTTTTTATTTTAGTTAATTTCTTTAGTTAATTTATCAACTGCCTCCCCTCCCCTCCCCTCTATTAAGCTTTTATTTGGTTTCCTTCTATTTGTTCAGCAGTAACAGATTTGTGGGTTTTGACTGAAAGGGAGAAAATCACGCCGGAGTCTTTGGTTCGCGGCCGGAAAGTGAAGGAAAAAAAGACGACGACTTTCTGTCTACCTTTTTTCTTTTATTTTCCGTATAATAGTTACAGTTGTCTAAACGTCAAATATTGGTTTCTA